GGAGCCCCTAGTAGCGTCCTTGCTCCTAGTAGTAAGGCCAGGAGCCCTTAGTAGCTTCTTATTCCTGAGCTTTGAAAGGACTTTGACTTCGATTCTCCACAGGTGCCATGTCAGCAGATTGGGCCCAAGAAGCTCGCCGTGTTTTGCGTGCTTGGCAGCACCGCCACCCAGCCTTTCAGGTGAGAAGGAGCTACGGTAGCAATATGGATGCCACACGTATCACATCAAAAATCGTAGTGTGTCATGGTTTATGTTCTGCAGATGCATTTTGCAGCCTCGGAAGGGGAGGATGAAATCTTTCAAGTCACGTTTCAGGCACTTTCAGGTGTTGCGGAATTTCCAACGTCACTGGCTGTGGAAACTTGGGGATGTGGAGCATGCTGAGAAACTGTGCATTTCTCTCATTTCTCTCCCTTTGTATTCTTCGTACAGGTGCAGCTTGCCGGCGGCAACGCCGAGGCTGCAGACACCCGAGATGAGATGCTGGGCAACCAAATGGTTGATGATGGTTCATGATGGTTCTGCTTTCGGAAAGAGACGATGATCGTATGCATGGTGTACGTGTGAGTAGGGAAAAGGACACTAGCTCTCAAGGTGTCTCACAATTTGTTTGCTGTTTGCTTTGTCTTCTGTCGCCTTGATCATAAGATATCATAAGTAAGCCATGATTTGCTGTGTAGGGAAGAGGCATCTCAGGATCCTGCGTGCAATGTGGACATACCTGATCGTTTGTGTGTCATTGATCATGATGGCCGCTTGGATCACAGAATCGAGTTTGCCGTGTGGCTGACAGTTTTCTTGATGCAGGTTGGCGTGTGCAGGTTCAAGAGATGTATGTAAGAAGGAGCACACTCGTCCAGAATCTTGAAAGTCTGTCCGAGCTCAAGAATTCATGACAGGGACGAGTGTTACACAGGCCTGATTGCATAGTCACCTGTGTGGTTGGGATTGCCACGCGGCCGGGAGGTTCTGTATTTGTCCTTCCAGTCCTTGTTGGTGCCACTACGTTTAGCCTTGGCCTTGGTCTTTACTCTTCTGGCCACCTTCGGCATGGGTGTCGTGATTTATCAGACCACGCCGCTCGGACGTTTGGGCATCACCCGCTGGTGAGTGATCAAAAGCAGATTCAATATATAGATATGATGGATGTAACAACAGTAAAGCAAGAAGTCGGTCTTGCAGTGTTGTATGATTTTCTATGTTCATTAATATATGCGTATAATATACTATCCAATCCTTGTATGCATGTGAATTGTGCGTGCTATTTGTTGCTGTAGTTGTTCAAGGCTTTCGGCTTCACTCAGGTTCTTGCATGGCCTGTTTCCCCAGCTGAAGTATTTCAGCGGAATCACCTACGAGGCACAATCTCCAAAGCCTGGATGAGCAAACGAGTAGGAGGAAAGCCGGCCTGATGATGGCATGCCCTTCCAGTTGAGAACCGATGCTTGAGACAAGCATTTGAAGATAGAGAAAGATTGAGACTGATCGAGAAATCGTTGGAGATTATGGGGCTCTTATAGACTTTTCCACTCTACACACTGTGTAACACTTTTCGCAAGCTGTTGCAACGTTGCTCGCGAGGTGATCCCGTTGGTCACTGGGATTGCCATTGCATTGGGTTTGGATTATGACATCTTCCTCGTGCCTCGGACAGAACTCTCGGAGAGCTCAGAGAATTTGCGTGCTTCCAAAAGGTGATAGTATTTTCGTTTGTGCTGAAACATGCTTAAACTGTACACAAGGCATTCATTGATTCACCAGTACACAGCCACACAGCACCGTTCATTTTGCTTTCTGTGATTCGTCGGCGACAGAAATCACGCTTCCATGATTACTCCGGGGGTCGCAATCCACCCAGGTGAGCCGCATCGTGGAGTTTCGAATGCAGCGCTACTCTGACCGTGCCAGCATCTTTCGAGGCCGAACGCAGATAGCTTTGGGGATGCCAGCTAGTGACCCCTTGTGGCCCTAATGGGCCCTAAGCTTCGAACCATATTCGACTGCTTATCACGAAAGCTAGCATGCTAGCTGAGTTCTTCTTTGCTTTAGCAATTGGTAGTGGGATGAGCTGTGTGCCTTAAAGCTTGATATATCACGCTAACCACCACCCCCCCCC